AACGATGTACGAAGCAGCGTTATTACGGACACTAGATAATTGCACGATATGACTTAACTGAGAGCTAAAGCACGTGTGTTCCGCGAAAAAGATCTCGCGGCCCCGTGTCGCGAAGAGAGGCGCGAGGAGAGGGCAATCCGCCGAAACTCGACGCGGATTCGGAGAATAGTTAGGCGAATCAGCTGTTGCGACTACACGCGCGTTCCGCACGCGGTCGCGGCGTGATCGCCGCGCAGCTGATCGACAGCGACCGTTTTCCCCAAGTACCGCGCTCGCGCCGCGTCCCGCGAGCCCGGGCCCGAACATACCGCCCGCCTTGAAACGCCGGTTTCAATAGAACGGTGATCATGTGGACACGAGCGATGGCCGGGCGAATCTTTTCGCCGGATTATCAAGTTGAAAACGAGAAAAGAAAATTAACTAAAGAAAGAAAAAAAACGATACTGATTCACCGATTGAACAGCGACGATATCTAAAACCCACCACCAAAAATGAATGAATTAACTTAAATCTAATTAATTTTACACAATCGTCGTTGGACGCGAGCACACACTGAGATCGTTGATGATGCGAATGTTACGCTGAGTCATCGCCGGTAGCGACGGGAAGAATACAAAGTTTGACGATCGGTCTCGTGAATTCGGACACATAACTCGCAGCCGACACCCGGTGTGCTGGTTCGCCGCGCGGCGGACGTCGCCGCGAAAGAATTCCCCGACGCTAACAAAAGTGCTCCCGCTCGGACAGCGGCACTTGGGGCGCTCGTTCGACGCTCCCCTCCGAGGTCGCATTAACCGGTACCCGCCCGCGACAATCACCCGATAAGCCCACGGCCGCCCCCCCGGGAGCCCCCGCGCTTGGCACCGCCGGTCCGCTCGCGACACGAAATGGCCGGCTCCGACTCCCCCTTGGAGCGGACGCCCGACGGCCTGAAACACTAAGGCGAACGCGGCGCGATGCAGAGCGCGAGCTAACCCCCTCGGAAGCACGCGGCTTTTACATTATAATTTGTCCTTCGAGGGCCTCCTCATCGCTACGCTCCCTGGGTCCCACGGCGCGGTCCCGGTCGGCACTTCTCTCCTCGGCTCCTCGACACAGGCTCGGTACGGCACGTGGTCGGCACTCGGATCGCCGGCTCGATACGCGCTCTGAGATGCGATGTGATACGGGCGAGGATCCGCGAACGAAAGCGGAAGATCCTGCGCGAGCGGGTCGATCACCCGATCGCTCGTTACGACCGCGAAAAGGGGCTGTAGAGTTTTATAGGATTTCGTCAGGATTAGGCGAAGAGGGGGCGGGAAACCACTGACTTGAACACAAAATCACTAAGCACCAATTATATTCAGTGTATGTGTATATAAGCAATGAACAGTTAATTAGAATTAGTCGCACTTAATCGCGTCACTCTGTTCTATCGGCAAGAACTCTTTATAGCTTTCACGCGGACTGACTCGCAGGACCGGCGCGTGTCCCTTCTCGCAGGCGAGTCTCTTTCGGCGAGAACGGCTCAGCCCCGGTTCGCTCGAGCTTACACGCGCTTTTCACGTGCAACACCTGTCGAGGCGTCTCGCGGTGTTCACGTGTTCCGATTTTTCGTGCGTTTATCCTTTAGCGTTCCCCAGGAGCAGGCGCGCTCTTCCGGCGAATATTCGTACAGGGCTGCGCGAGATAGCGGCGCCGTGGATCCGCCAATCATGGGGGGTCGCTCGCCCGGCGTGTCGCCGGGCCCGCAGGGGCGTTATCGGTGTCCGCGCGTTTCCGGTGCGTAATTCGCCCCGCGCGGTTCGCAGGGCCGGGGTGGTCGATCCTGGGCCCGTTTTCCGGCGAGTCGGCCCTCCGGTCACGCCGGTCCTCTCTGCCTCCGGGGGGACCTCCGTCCGCGCTCGCCCCGCGGTTCTCCGTCCGGCCGGCGCCTCGTCCCCCAGGTAAGAAAAATTTAACGGGCCAGGCATGGTCCAAGTATGGTAGCCACTCTCCCAGCCTTACCACCCGTATCTTAACCAGGATAGGTTCAGCCTTGGTTTAAATCCGGAATGATAACATTGGGCCAAGAATGGTTATCAAGTAATGGCCAGTTCAGAATAACAGTCATCGGCCTTATATAAGTTCCCAGCGTTGGCCCGTGATTGGGCCAAAATCAATTATAAGATTGGGGATACTGCTCAGAAACTAATGATGCAGTTCTGGGTGATTACTGGTTTTCTAGTTATAAACCAATCGTTATTCTTCTAGTCTGGCTGCCATTCTTGGTTCAAACGTGGTTCGTTTAAAATAGGAAATAGGGAAGAATCGAGAGGCAAAAGAATTACAAATCCCGGGAAAAAATTTTCACATATGATCATATATAATCATATATTCTCATATACGAATTTTTTGCTATGCAATGATGCTTAATAAAAAAGAAAATCCAAAGAAGAGGATAGAAGAAAAGAATTTCTAACATATTATAAAAAGGGATTTCTGCATAGAAACATAACAAAAAATAGAGTAAACAACTTTCTTTTGGTGAATTACTATAATTTTCTTTTTATTGATTAGAATTTCACAATAACAAAAACATCTTTCAATTAAATAAAATAAATTCCACTAGTACTTTCAACTTTCCACTACTACTTTCAACATAAAAATAAACTGAAAATTCTGAAATGAATGAACGAACACTTTTAAACGCGACAAGAATAATCTCTATCAAAATTCTATTCAAATAATATTTGTTAGAATATAAATACTTATTACAACGTTTTCTTATTATATTTTAGTGATCACTTTTTATTTCTTACACTAACCGCGATCTTTTTCTGGACGATTATCGATTTTTTCGACCACCATCACGATCTCCCGCTCCGCTCAACCATCTCGAAATAATAGTTTGTAATGTTTTTAAATTTCCTGCACTCCCCAACTTTTCAATGGTAGCATCTTTCAGTATTGTGCACATCTGAGTTGCACTAAAATTTCTCTTAGCTTCTCCGTGAATTGCACGGCCAACGCCAGAATATTCCAATTGAACATTTTTGGTCAACATTGCAGGAAGAATAGCAGCCACACAGTCTTTTTCTGTCGTCAATGAGTAAATTAAAATCCTGAAAAAACTTAGCTGAAAAAAATACAGATTTAATTTTTTCTGATTTACACACAAGATTTGAAACAAAAGAAAATTCTTTAATTTTACCAATGTATTTCTTTCCTCTTTATTTTTCTGCAATAAATCTTCATATTGAAGGAATTCATCGAGAGATTTTATGGGTACCACTACGTTTAATTTTTCTCTTGTGATTGTCACGTTAGGTCCATGAACCAATGCCATATTTTTAGAGATTATCAGGTTTTTCACTTCGTCTGTGCTTTTTCTTAAGTCAATTTGAATGCTTTTTACGACAGATCTCATTGCATCCCTTACTGACTGTCTGACTGCCTCGAGAATATCTGCAGATACAACTTTTTTTTTGCTGGATGATGGAGTATCTTCCTCGCCTTTAGACATGACATCAGATCGGTAATATAATTTTCTTTTGAGACTTTCCCTGCGAACCTGTGAATAATTTTGGTGTGTCATTTGACAATTTTTTATTTTTTCTCTTAATGATGAATCTGTCAGTACCTTGTCAATGTCATTTTCCTTTTCGTTACTCTTTTCAGGAGATTGGCTGGCTGATAAAAATTTTTCTTGTTGAGAAGATACTGAATTCTCCAAAAGGCCTTCTGTTTTGTTACTTGAATCATTAATGACACAAAAGGATGGTGATTCTTCGTTATTGCTGGATTCAGAAGAATTATTTTTCGCCTCTAAAATCCGTGAATATTTGTTTGTAACTCGTCTCAAGGGTTCATCATTTTCTGAATCGGTAACAGAAGAGTCAATTTTTAACTTTTTGGAAAATTCTCCTACGAGACAAAATAACATGAAACGTAAAAACCATATAAACAATTGTTTTTATTATTTTTATCATATAAAAATATAATAAAATGTTGAACTACGTAAAAGTCCCAGTCTTTAAACTGTACAATTGCATTTATAATGCGGTACAAATGCAACTACTAGGACATTTACCTTATCTCGAAAAAATGAGGACTAAAAACATCACGCACCTAAAGATATCTTTCCCTTTGATGATGAATCTTTTGAGCTCATAGGATAGGTTTTTCGCAGTTCTTTAATGACCTTCGACTTTGATAGCGTATAAGGCAAACTAAAAGATCGAGTATATTCACTGTCAGTGCTATCTGCGTAATTTTGCTGACATGTTCGGTCCAACCGACGTCGACCCTGCTCTAGAGACTCTAATGAATGAAATAAAAAAATGTAATATCTCTATTTACTTCTATAAAAAATATGTTGATAAAATTGCAGATTTTGATTACTTGCTGTTGTAAATACATTAATACGGAATGCTTCCCACGAATCTTCCGGAATTTTCCCTTCTTCCAACCATATATCACGCATATGATATAACTCTGGAGGTGGATATTTGCAAAAATGTTTCTTCCCTTGTTTGTACAGCCACGTGGACAGAACCATGTCGACGGGTTTTTTGCCATTTTGCTTTGGCCCGCGAAAAACGATGATTGAGAACGGATCTTTTACAGTAGTCATTTTGGTTAGGTTAGGTTAGATTACTCGAATTGCACTTATATCACCTGTATCACTTCTTACGTATGTTAATTTCTTTTACAATACTTGTTATTCATTCACTTTTTATTTCACGAGAATCCAGCGTATACAGCGTACAGAACGAAATTGCGTCATGCCATATATTAGACTCATGAGCTACGAGGCACGAGGCCGGCTACTGGCCAGTAAAAACACGCACGAACAGGCCTACCACGCTAGTACACATACTGTCATCTCCCGACAAAAATATAAAATGAGGAAAAGATCTTCCAGAATTACTTTTCAAAAAAGTTATTTTTTTACAATATTCTCTGCTCGTTAATTATTACACGATATATCCAACGATGAGAGAAATGCTATGTCATATATTGAAAACGAAATAAATTCACATTCGTCACTATCAGCTGTTTCATCTAATTTTATTGCAACACATTCAAGTCTTAAGTCACTGCATTATGATGGACCACTTATACCTTATTGCAACAATCCACAATATAAAATTGTGACATACAATGGAATAACATTGAAAGCTGGAATACTTGCGGATAATTGCTGTGGCTTAGATAATGGTGCCATTAGTCGACTCTATCCGCAGCCTGGGCCTCGAGGTGGCACTCGGCAAGACCGAGGCCGTGATGTTCCACGGTAAAAGACGTGGAGCATGCGGCGCGCCGTCCGAGGGACTCACCCTGGCTGTGGGTACGGCCCTCGTCAGGATCGGCCACGAGATGAACTATCTCGGGTTGATCCTCGACGACCGATGGAACTTTGCGAGCCACCTTGCCGGAG